AATTTATTTGCTAATATTTATGTGGCTATCACTCATGCCACATATGCAACGTGGACATTATAGCATTGGAGATGCTCTAACAGTTTAGTTATTCAAAATGGATTTATAAGTGTGCCAAGTCAACGCCACCAGATACTTATTGTTTCACTATTAGTTTAGTTGCACCAGATGATACATTTGTTTGATCGATATAATTAATCCTATTTTCAGGAAAAAAGAAGAAGTATGAAACATGAATTTTTCTTTATAAATGAGGCTCGAATCATGATCTCCGGTTGTGAACTTTATTCTAATTCGGACTTCATGTTTGAACCAAACTCAACGACCTTTATTTGGTGGGGCATAATTGCCAAAACCAGATAAGATCATTCAATATGATGAATCCTGCCATAACATATATGTTTAGTTATATTTCCTTTCATTATTAAATTAATTAATCATGTTATTCGACGTGCACTTAGAGTTGAGACGGTTGGATTGTCGACATTAAAATGGTGACCACTGATGAATGATTTGATTAAATAAGCTCAACTAATTCAATTATTTAAAACCTGAAGTACACTCGTTATATTGCTAACTGTAAAAGTTTGTATATAAAAAATTGTTCGTAGTTAAAACAAGAATATCATTTTCCCTCAAAAAAAGAAAAGTATAAAAGAATTGAAGTAGAATTTAAGAAGGGATTATGGGTGGTATACTGCAACATTTAACAAAAGCAAATGATTTATAAAGAGCTTAGTTGGTCGCCAGATGCACACTACTCTACAAAATTTGATCATAAGAGCACATCACAAGTAATCCACCCACAATTGCAAGGGCAGGCTGATTTTTGTGTATCTGGCGAAAAATTGGTCGCCAAATTTGCTTCTCCAATAATGCAACGAGCTAAGTGTAAAGTGTCTAAGTGATCATCATTTATTCTCTCTTCTTTTGTGATTTTTGTGTTCTAACTAGTCTAGTTTGAATTGGTTTTATGTGGTTCGATCTTTGTTGTCATAGACTCATAGGTTAGGTACTATGAAACACGGAAACTCTCCGAGTAGTTGTAGACCCAGAAACTAAATATTGAGGGATCGTTTCCAAAAGTGTACAGTACAATACAATAAGCTAATATATTACTCCCTCCGTCCCTAAGTAATTGTCTGGTTTGCTTTATCATAAGTTTTAGCAAAGTGATTAAAAAGGTAAAGTTATGCTTATGATTTGAGTATGATAAAAGTAGTGATGGACCGGTTCCGGGCCGACCGGCCCGTGGCCCGGCCCGGGCCGGCACTGTTGGGAACCGGCCCGGCCCGGTGACCGGTCCGGGTAGGCCCGGCCCTGGGTTACACAGGGCGGGCTCGGGTCACCCAAAATAGGAACCGGCCCGGCCGGGCCCGGTTCGGGCCTATTTTTTTTCTTCATTTTTTTTTGTTTTTTCCCGGGTTGGGCTGGGTGTTTTTTGGGGGTGGGGTGGGGTGGGGGGTCGGGGGATAAGATGAAAAGCAAAAAAAAATTGAAGAAGCCCGGGAATCGGGCCGGGCCGGCCCGGACCCGGACCCGGTGGAAACCCGGGTTGGTTCCGGGCCGGCCCGGACCCGGACCCGGTGGAAACCCGGGTTGGTTCCGGGCCCGAAGCCAAACCCAAAAAGCCCGCCCAGGACCGGCCCGGAGCCCGGCCCGGCCCGGGACCAGTCCATGCCTAGATAAAAGTGTGTTGATCGATATGAGGTACATATTAGAGTCAAAAGAGGAAATAAGACAACTATTCTGGTACATCATGAAAAGGAAAATAAAACGATTATTATTTTAGGATGAAGGGAGTAATTTTTATAGAGTATATATACACATACACCCTCTATCCTTTAAAACTTTGTCATCTTTGAATATATATTTTGGTCAACCAAGTTCAACGTTGACCAATTATATATTATTACCGGAAGTTATTTACTACATCCATTCAAAAAAACTTTTCCATTTCATAACACTTGGATCATGATTTGGATTAGTATAATATTATGGAATTTATAAATTTTATACTTTTATGAAAGTACTTTTAACAAAGAATATTTTCATATAATTAAATTTTATATTATAAATAATTTTCAATAAAAATATATGGTTAGTCAAAGTTTTAAAAATTGCAAAGTTTTTTGGGACAGAGGTAGTATAATATAAACATGATATGAAAATATTCTTTGTCAAAAGTACTTTCATTAAAGTATGAAATTTATAACTTTCCAAATATTATACCAATAAACCAAATCATGGTCTAAACTTTACCACAATTGACTTGAAAACTCAAAAATGACAAAGTTTTAATGGACGGAGGTAGTATAATACATAAACACATTATATATAATTATATAAGAGTATCTGTGATGGAAAATAATGTCTTTAATTAAAAACTTAATAAATTTTTGTGATATTTCTTTGTAGCAACATTATGACATTTCATAACACAATGCATTGCTAGAAATGTATTGCATTTTATATTTAAATATTTAATTATGTACAAATATGTAATGATTTCTAAATTTGAACATGTAGATTTTTTATTGTGTTATTAGACAAGTTATATGAAGAAGAATGCCTTGACGCATTGATTATGGTGTTGCTGTGTGACTAAAAGGTCACGAGTTCAAGCCTTGGGAATTGAGCGGGGAGAAGGCTTGTGCTTTAATCAACCTTTGTACGTGGTGGGACCCTTCACGGACCTTCACCTTGTGGGGATGTGAATGTGCACCGGGCTTCCCATGTTATTTACACAAGTTATAAGAAGAAATCATTTTCATATATTTAAATGTAAAAATCTGTATAAGCACATGGAAGTATATCTATAAGTATATCCATACATTATTTTTAATATCAATGTGTTTTTCCCAAGTTTTGTATCGCATATTTTTTAGAAATTATTTTTCTCATATTTCTCCATTTCTCGTTTCTGTGCTATTTAATTCAAATATAATATTATCATCATTCTTCTTTAAGTTAGTGCACCATTGTCTTAAAGCTTACACTCCTAAAGTTGGACATTATTCATTTATTTTTATATGTGAATCTCATATTGACCACTAAGGTTTCATAATCCGTCATTTTTGGACATCCACTTATGATTACCTTCTTTCATTAATAAAAATTGTTAGTCGCATATTTCTTTCCCTTTTTTTAGTGTCAATAAACTAACTTAATTGATGTCTATAATTTTAGAATATTTAATTCTTATGATTAAAACACAACCTTACACACAACAGTACATATCTAAGTTGCTCTTGTTAACACATTTTTTTTGTTTTTCAACCTTATTAACCAACTTTTTATCAACAGTTCAACACACAACTTTTGGTTTCGTATGCTGGATTGTGTGATAATCAAAATAGGTAAGTTGGAGTTAGTTTTCCTACTGAAATGACTGAAATTATTAAAAAGTTTGGTTTTAACTATTTGTCGTATATTGATTTCGTAATTTTGTTCATTAAATACATTTTAAATACTCCGTATGTTTCTACATAATACATCATGTTCGGGCCAAATAATTGTTTTATACAAAAGGAAATTGCCAAATAATACATGAATATAAATAGGGACGGGCATAAAAAACGAACCGAATATCAGGTGTTTAAACGGTTCTAAATATTTTATCCCAAACCGAAATCATACTATTTGAAACGGGTACCGAACCGATTTTAGATTTTGAAAACCGATAAATACCGAACCGGGCGTTTAATAATAATACATTTGAGTTTTTATATTTTGTCATTTCAATGAATCCATACCTTACATATTAAAAGAATAGTCAAGTTTAAAATGACTATTAACGCCCAGTATTTTAGTGTATATGACTATTGGTTGTATCATATTTGTAATTTGTGTTGTTTTGCAAATTGAGTAATACTTCATTGATTCTTTAATAGTTGCAACATTGAATTTTTTACACTATTCACACACCTTACTTTGATCACGATTTTCTATTAATATATATAATCAAATTATTATGTATAAAATGTTACTCCGTATTAAATTTATACTACTGTGAGTTTTCAAAATATTAACTTGTTATGATGTATACTAATACATACTCTCTCCGTCCCGCTATGATTGTCCCATTTTACCATTTCTGTCCGCCCCACTAAGATTGTTCCATACCTTATTTGGTAAAGTTTGTGTGGTTCTAAATCATTCCTACTTTATTCTTACTTTATCAAGTCAATATCAACCACATAAACCCACTTTTAATAATAATCGTGTCACATTCTCTTGTCCCAAACTTAGGGGGACGGAGGTAGTAATTAACTATAATTACTGTCAAAGTTATGCATTAGCAAACGTGAAAGTCAAACGGTCGCAACAATTAAAGAACAAGGATACTATTGTTTAAATCTCAGGACTCATCGTCCAACTATGAACTAAAACTAATATTTAACGTGGAACAAATTAAAGATGAAGAGTAATGAATTTTCAATTAAATTCGAGGATGTGATAATACTTTTTTTTATGTTTTCAAGTGAATTTAATAAGAAATCATTTAATTAAGAAGATGATGTCTATCCAATATATCATCCTTGTGCTATGTGAGCCCGTTTGGTAGCACCAAAATCGGCTGTTTTGGCTGATTCTGCTGAAATTTATGATATTCTGGCTGGAGTGGCTGTTTTGGCTGATTCTGCTGATTTAAGAAAAAAATATTTTAAAAATATATTTTATTAATAAATCAAAGAAAAAATTATATGTAAAAATAGCTAAAATGGTCTTCTACAGTAACTTTAGCCAATACAGCCAGAAAAGTAACTCCAACCTTACTTTTTCGGCTTATTACACAATTCAGCGCGCGAAAGTAAAAGTTACGTGTTTGGCGAAAAAGCTGGCTGATAAGCCTGATAAGCCGAAAACAGAGTTCTCCAAACGGGCTCTGTATTTCCTAAATTGTGTTAACCTATTTGAGAATTTTGAGTATGTAATTGATTTAAATATTAAGTATTTAAGTTTGGGATTTAAAAAAAAATATATATTAATGTGGTTCCCTCCGAATTCATGACCTGCCCCGAAGTTATTCTCTTCCATAGTTCCGCTAAGAGAGTTCCAGGAATGAAATCCCTTCTGAATGCGACCCTTCCTCAGCCCATATCCCTCTGTATCCGATTCCAAAAAGCCATCGTTGCCCGAAGAAGAGGCTTCCATACTATCAGCACATTTCATAACCCTAGCCTTTTCATTCAACCTGTGAAGCCCCCCAGACTTTCAGTTTCTCTGTTTGGGGTTTCAGCTGTTTCGGAATGTGAGAAAGGTCGGAGCTTTCGAACAGCGGCGTCGTTGACGAAACAAGGGGAGATTCATGTGATTCTAGGACCAATGTTTGCTGGGAAAACCACCACTCTTCTCCAAAGAATCAAGGCTGAGAGCGTTAATGGCAGGTTCGCGTAATTCGTGCTTTCTGTTTTACTTCTCTGTAAATTCCAACTGAATTTTGCCCCACCGGAAGGTAACATATATGATCAGCAGTTGAATTTTCTCTGTAATGCATTTTACTTTCATTACTTTACTCCTTACCCAGCAACACCTAAGATGATTTCTAGTTTCTATCATAACCTTATTCATGATGCCTGTGTCATTATTGCGCAGAAGCATAGCAATTATAAAATCAGACAAGGATAATAGATACGGAATGGACTCTGTGGTGACACATAATGGGGAAAGAATGCCGTGCTGGCCTTTGGCAAGTCTATCATCCTTCAAACAAACAATTGGTTCCAGAGCGTATGATAAGGCAATAACCATGTCAATAATGTTTAATTTCACGTTAACAACTGAGATATGTTTCCTTGCTAAAATGTAGAATCTTGGTTGAGTCTGATTGGATGAACGGTTTGGGGAGGGAAAACTTAAATGGCTTAGTGAATATGCTGTTATATATGTGAGATTTTATATGTCTAAAAGAATAACATATGTGATCATAAAGCATTTCACAAACCTTTTATTTGTATTAGGAACATTTTATGAACAAAACTTAAGTTTCCTTCTTCAAAGTTATAAATCACCTGTGCACGCACAGTTCACAGATAATGAAGTAAATTATCTTTTGTCTACGAGAAATGTTTAAACTTAACAAGGAGCAAGGTTCGAAATTGCATATTGCGTAGTCATGGCGTTTTTTTAGGATTGCATATTGCGTAAGCCTCATTGCGCAATGAGGCGTATGTCTGAGGCGTAAAAATTTATGTGTGTGTATATATGCATAAATATAAACAAAATAAAAAGATGGAGAAAATTAATATTCACATAATTAATAGGAGTATTACGTATTCTCTATTCACATAAAATTAAAACAAAATAAGATCATACGTGGAGTAAGCTAAAATATAATCTTTGATGCATTAAAAACGTTTAAAGATATCATTAGTCAAGATTATTTAGAGCCATTAGAGGGAATATACTTCGTATATAATTCAGGTGATATCATACCTTTAGTAAATACTAAAAACTAAAGAAAAAAAATGAAAGAAACCTTAGTTGCATTGAGATGCCTGAAAGGCTGAAACCACTTTAGTTGCCTCGAGAAGACTAGAGAGGAAGACAGAGGAAGTACTGAGTTCCTGAGAGCCTGAATCGCTGCCAGGCCTTTCGCGATAGATGAATAAGGCGGAAGAAAGTAAGTAACTAAATTGCTGCCAGCATAATGTGTACGCCTCGATAGGTTTATTAGTAAAAATTAAGTCCAGTGGGCCCAAAAAAACACTTTACAGCTGACCACATATATCGTATGCCTCATGCCGCCTTAAGGCGTGGATAGAATTGCGTACGCTTCTGTGCAATAACTCGTGCGCCATAACAACTTCCGCTATAAGCAATGCAATCTTACGCCATCCTCCAGGAAATTGGTGAGGCGCGCCTCAAGGCGGTATTGCATTGCGCAATTACAAACCATGACAAGGAGTAGTAATTTACTTCTATTAACTTATTTGTGTTAATTTTATTTTGTGTGTGCTAACAAACTGTTAGGTAACGGAACACTAGCAGAAGAAATTGGTAGTATATTAATGAAAATTTTAATGAGGGAGGACAGAAAGTAACGAAAGAAAAGGTAGAGACTCTTCGAGTGGCCTCACACTCCCAAATTCCCAGTCCCGATCCCAATTTTTTCCTCCCCATCTACTCACCACTCACCCTTATTTATTCTATTTCTAATGGGCCAGCCCACTTCTATTAAGTTATAGGGCCTAAAACCCTATTATTGACAATATTAAAAATACTTATTAAGACTATTATTATTGGTAGTGTACTAGTGCCCGGGTCCCTAACACAAACCTATTTTCTTTCTTCTTTGCTGTTATGTTATTGTAGTTGGAGGTGATTGGCATTGATGAGGCTCAATTTTTTAAGGATCTATATGAGTTCTGCAGCAAAGCTGCTGATCATGATGGCAAAACTGTGATTGTTTCAGGTTTGGATGGGGACTACCTGAGGTATGATGACATCCACTAAGGATTTTTTTTTTCCAAATTTTGAGGGCAAAAAAATCTTGTGGCTAAATTGCATTTTGTTTACTAATTTCATTCCTTGTGGTTTTTGCAGAAGGAGATTTGGTTCGGTGCTCGACATAATCCCCATTGCTGATACAGTGACCAAGTTAACTGCTCGGTGCGGGCTTTGTGGGGACCACGCACACTTTACCCTTAGAAAGACTGATGAAACCAAAACAGAACTAATAGCAGGTGCGGATGTGTATATGCCAGTGTGCAGGAAGCACTATGTGAGTGGCCAAGTGCTTAAAGAAGCCACTAGAGACTGTGTCCTGGAAGCTCAGGAGGTTGAATGCATCCCTTTTTGTGACACTGCTGCCGTTGTGGTATGATATGTAACTCGTCCCCTGCCAGCTCGGGTGTGTGCCCATGTCCGACATATATTCCACTTGTAGTATATGGTATAATTATCAATTCACTGCACTGGGATGCTTAGGGCTGACCATGTTTATGGCATAACCACCTGAGATTCACAATGAGATTAGTTAATGATCTTTAATCTGTGTGGATGAGTGGATCAATGGTGCTTGTTTTGCGCTGCTTGCCTGATTTGGTGTTGACCCCATATAGCTGCTTGTTGGATTGCAAACATCTGGCCTGAACTCCGTGACTGTTTTGGAGACGAGCAGTTGCTGATTGTTATTATGTTGCTGAGTATATCGCAGCAGAAAATTTTTCTAACGTAGACAATGCTTTGTAGAAGATTAAGTAATGAATGAACTATTGGGTTTACTTTTATGTGATTAGCATTCACTATCATATTAATGTGCAGAGCGTTCCTTCTTTCTTATACTGTGTCGAAAGACATATGTAGTATATAGAAATAAAGGCTAAAATAGGACCATGGACTTTTAGGTGGTCAAAAATAAGACCCAATTTCAATTGGACAAAAATAAGACTTGGACTAGATCTGCTAACGCGCATTAGCTTGTCCGGACATCTCCCTGCCCGCAACAGACTACAGCTCCAAGCCGACGGACATCTCCCCTGCGCGCAACAAACCAGAGCTCCAAGCCGCCGATTCACGCCGTCTCCTCCGCCTTCTGCCGTCGCTCACGTCTGCATCGGTATTCTTCTTCGTCATGGAGCTGCTCAATAACGAACGAAGCTTGGTCGACGATTCGATGGATGACGGGAGAAGCTTCACCGATTCCAGATCTATAGCGGCTGCAATTCTGTGTGCGACGTCGACGACATTACTTATTAGATCTGCGGCCGCCTAAAGCGGGGGGGGGGGGAGGATAGATGGCAGAGGTGACGGACCTGGTTGCCTGGGGCAGAGGAGGTGGTTTGGACAAGGTCTTGGGTGCTGGTGGGGGTGGGGTTAAGTTTGTAAGGGTGATTCGGCAGTAGCCAAAGCATGTGAGGCGGCTGGAGTATGGGCGGCGGCGGCCGGAGCATGGGTGGCAGTGGTGGCCGAGGCATGGCAATGACCGGTCACTAGACTACTACCGGGGTTGTCAATGGCCACGTTGGTCATGATCGGATTGGTCATGGTCGGGTTGGTCATCGTCGAATTGGTTATGGTCGGGTTATTATTGGATTGGTCACGGTCGGAATGGTCATGACCGAATTGGTCATGGTCCGGATTGGTCATGATCCAATTGGTCACGGTCAGATTGATCACTGTCGATTTGGTCACGGTCAGATTGGTCACGGTCAGATTGGTCACGGTCGAATTGGTCACAGTAAGTGGACGGGTTGGTAACTGTAACGGGATGTGTTATGTCACTGTAACTATAATTTGGAGGGTCGGTAACTGTAACTGGATGGGTCGGGTAATTGTAACTGGACAGGTCGGGTAACTGTAACTGTGCGGGCGGACGTTGGTCACTGGATGGGCCGACGTTGGTCACTTGGCGGAATTTGGATTTTTCGTCACTAATGATTTTTTGTCACTGTATGTTATTGGTCAAGGTGAGTATACTGGAGCACTAATGGAAAGTGACTACTGCAACACGTTAGTATTGTTATTGTTATGTCTTGATCCCCTTTTTATTCCCTTTTTTGGAAAGTGAAAAAAGGTCTCTTTTTTGTCTATAGCTCTTTTTTAGTATTGTTTTAGACATAACCCCTAGTATAGACATAACCCCTAATATATAAGGGCATTTTATACATTGATAGTAGAAGAATAGAAGCAGTATTTTTGGTAAATGTTTTTACCAGTAGAAAATTATAATTATGGGTAATTTGTTATTTACAACCTTCAAGATGCAAGTTTTCAAGATGAGTCACTTTTCCCTTTTTAGTAATAAAATTAAAGTAGACTACCATTTATACCCTTCCTTTTTAATGAATAATAAAAGTAAAAGAGTGAACAATACAATAAAGTAAGGTTGTATGAGTCCTTCTATCACTTTTTCTTAATATTTGACTCCAAAAAGTATAGGACCATCAATTTGTGACGGAGGGAGTATTAGACATTGGAATGAGTTACAAGCTCCACATAAGACTGTACCAAACATACAGTCACTTGATAGTTTTTGTTGCAAAAAGTAAACAACAGCCCTCCTTCATGGGCATACAGATCACAGAGATACAAATTACATATTTATATTCCTTTCTCAATCAGGTGATAAACTTCCTAAATTGCTGGCTTCCAACTGGTAGATCAGATTGAATACATGTCGTTCAATGATATCATGCGAAAGAGCTGAGCTTCGGTTCTTGAGAACCATGACAAGAGACTTGTAAAGAGTGTTATTATGTTTCTGTAAACACACAAGAACTTTGTAAAAGCTTGGGAAATCAAGAAATTGGCAAGGGAAGAAGAAATGCAGTTGGTTGGTTACCTTTGTAACCTTCAAGGCTGTCTGGACAACATAATTACCAAACTGATGGGATGCAAGGTAAACCAGTTTTGATTCCCTTTCCAAGAGAGTCTCAACAACAGATCTCATCCCAAACTCTGATGATTTTAGGCAATTCTCCACGACATGGCTGCCGCCCATGGTTTCAGCCAAGTGTAAATAATGCCTCTCGAGACGAATGCATATGGCGCGCGAGATATTGTCATCATGAAGGGTAAGAACATGCTGAATCACATAGTGCCTGTTGAAATAGCCGATTCACGAAAAAGAGCACGATAAATTTTAAGATATTTTTATCCATAACCATATTTAGTCATGTATATAATTTGCACTACTACACATATGTACCCCCAAGGATCGTGAGAGAGGATGTCTGAATGTTCTGCAATTCGATGAAGAAGTATGGATCTATTTATCCCGCCCACGCAATTGAGACAAGTGTTGAGGGATATGCATCCGTATTGAGATGTGGCTAGCTCTATAACGTCATTTAATAGAGCGTCATACAACACCTGAGATCAAATCAAGAGAGTGTGATATAATCTACCAAAGATGTACTTACAAATGTTCTAAAGCACATCTAATAGTAGTTGAACAACTACAATACCTGATTCTCATTAGGTTTGAAGCTCTTAAAGCATTGTTCAACAACATATTGGCCTTGTGCACTAGTCATCAGTTCAAAAAACCTCATGGAGAGAATGTTAGTAATGATATGGCCAAAACCGGATCTTTTCAATCTCTTGATCAAGGCCTGAACTGCAGTTGAACTGTCAAAGACACACATTACGTCATTTTATGATTACCAACGCCGAGTTTCCGAAAAAAGTTGTGCACGAGTGTAATTACTAATTACCCGTGTTTATGAAGAGCTACATCAACGAATAAGCGTTCATGGGAAGCCAATTTAAAGAAAATCATATTAAGTTGGATCGAATCGCAAACTTCGAGAAGCTTTCTGAAGAGATGGTGTGCGTATTCATTTGTCATGACCTGAAAAATACTTCCAAGAATAACCTCAAATATTTGCTGGCAGAGACCAAACTTTCCTTCTTTTAGAATCCTCTGCAACTCCAGAGAACCTTCCCTAGTTTTAGCTGCTTCCAAAATTCTGTTTCTTGGACTTGGGCAACCACAATCATTTTGTGACCCTCTACCAAACTGACTTGGAGAACCCCATGTTGAATACAATCTCCCATTGCTGCTTCCTGATCCATAATATGTACCATCAGTATACAATTTTCAGGTATTTTCATCACAGAACCACCCACAAAGAAACAACAAATTGTTCAAAATGTTGTAGTACATACACCAAAATCATGAAATTTAGTATGTGTACTAAGTTTGCTACTTGTTATTAGACGTCTATCATATTAGAGCTTGGTTTTTGTTATTGTTTTTCCATTAAAATGTTATACTTTATTCCACCACCACCACCCTACCCATCCCCCGTATAAAAATAAGAGAATATTACCCGAAATAGGACTAAAAAGGTTTGAAAATTCCAAAATAGGATTGTCATGTTTTTATTCCCAAAATAGGACTAATTACTGTCATATTTTGACAGTATCAGACTTTAAACATGCCGGTATTTTTCAAACTTGGCAGTAATATGGGAATAAAATAATGTCAGTCATATTTTGGAATTTTCAAACTGTTTTAGTACTATTTCGGGAACCCTCCCTAAAAATAATATGCATGTGCGGATGTGCATGTCATACATTCAACAAGCAGTAACAGGATCGGCGGTTGTATTTCTAACAAGTACCACCCTTCCAAAAAAATAGTGTGTATATTACACAAACATTAATACCACGTAACATATTGTGATGCATTTTTGTACTCATATACATATCGAGTATTACTTAAACTTTTTGACCCCACTGACATTATAGTACTCTTGGAAAGCATTCACTTTGCACTTCGTAGGCAATTTTCTTTTGCAGGGAAAGCATTCAAATCAGGAAACAAACCAGGATGGGATGTACTTTGGTCCGATTTTCAATTAATAGGTATTTTGGTTAAGGTAAAAATACTAGAAAGGTGAATTTCTCTTCAGAACAAATTGGGAATATAGGTAGTTGTAAGTATTACCTGAAAAGTTGTTCCAAGCCCAAATATTGGAAGAGGTATAACTAGAGCCACAGCTTGTTGAATACCATTGTGCAGCATTGGAACCTCAAAAGATTAAATTTCAAAATTGACAGCATATAATTATAATCTAACATGAGATTTTAGAATACATGAAAAATAACTATATACAAGTACACACAAGTAAATTTAGAGACAAGAAATATTACATGTAAAATAATCAAAGAGACTCGAGTATATATTTCATCTACCATTAATCAAAACTACTAATAGCTTAAAAAGGTATATGAACAAATATATTCACTCACATGACCATAATATATTTAAGTAATTATAATGATCAAATATGGAATATATTCTGACAAACCTAAGTTGTGGCTGTTGTTTTCTTTCAGAGAGAGGTTTGTGAGAGAACCAAGAGTTTCATCAAATAGAGAATTGTTAGCGGTGTTGCCGGGATTATTAGCAGCAGGGTTTAGGGTTGCCATGAGAAACCACTTATGTAAGAAAAGATGGATGAAACTAAATTAGTTAATTGGTTAATATAAACGTAGCTTATGCATTGTTATTTCCAAATAATTTCTCATTCCTATTCTTAATGAGACACAATTAATATATAACCTCCTGTTTCCATAGTTTACGAGGAATCTAAAACTAGGGCTGTATTTCCAGTTTGCTATTGGTTTCCATGGTTTAGGATGGTGATACTCCTCCGTATTAAAGGTGAACCCTTTTTAGGATATAATAATAATAACGTCATTATTACTCTCTTATACGGAGTATAAATAATAAAATAAATACTCTTCTAACGAGTATGATGACATGATCGATCTTGTTATATACTCCTCAATATTGAATTAAAATCAAATCGACCTCATAATTCTCCCATCTTTTAGAGCATGTTTGGTGACATTTTCGATTTATCAACCAACTTTTTTATTAAATACGTGATTTTTGATTTTGTACACTGAATTGTGTCATAATCAAAGTAAGTAAGACTTGAGTTACTTTTCTTGTTGAATTGACTGAACTTACAGTAGAGAACCATTTTAGTTTTTTTCATATATTTTTCCTTTATTTTATTAATAAAAAATATTTTAAATATAATTTTTTCATTAATCAGCAAAATCAGTCAATTCAACCACTTCAGACAAGATCATATTTGATCAGACTGAATTGAATTAGATCATGCAAAATTAAACGACACTCAGACAACAGTAAAATACACATATATTTGATCAATGCAGACCAGACTTAGAATGTTTTTAATAGGACTTAAATTTTTATCTGTTTAAGAGTGACCAGACCGGACTTAAGCATATCCTAATTATTATTTTTGTTCATCCATTAACCTGTGATGTACTCCATCCATAAAAAGAAACAAAAGAGAAATTCATAGGTTCCTAGTAGGGGTGGGCAAATCGGTTTACAGTTCGGTTTTCTTCGGTTTCGGTTCGGTTTCGATTTATTCGGGTTGGGAGAATTTGTACCAAACTAAAACCATTTATGTTTCGGTTTGGTTTCGGTTCGGTTTCGATTCTATTCGGTTTGAAGTTCGGTTTACCAAAGTAAAAACTTTTGCATCACATTACTCCGTATGATATTATTTGATCAAGTTCTTATATTTTATAATTAGAAAATGAAAGTAGTAGTTCATTTCATCTTCTTTTATTGATTACTAGGTTTCAAGCCCGTGCGATGCACGAGCGGTACATAATTTAGCTAATTTTTGAATTTGATTTTTTTCGGAATCATATATAATGTGATGCAAAAGTACAATAAACTCAGTCTAAATATAGAGTTCGTTTGATAATACTAAAATTGGTGGAATCGGCTTATTTTACTAAAATTGATTAAATTCTAGTTGAATGGACCGAATGGGCGGAATCTCCAAAATCATGAAAAAAAATTCCATTTGTAAAATAAAGAAACAATTATATGAAAAATATATAAAATGTTCTTCTACATAAGCATCTCAACTAAACGTAATGTTGTGAACCAATTTTAAAGAATTCACAAAGAAGCTTCTTAATTAATCTCACATCCTCTAAATTACTTTATTATGCACCTCAATTTTTTTTCATATTCCTCATTCAGTTTGGTATGAAATATGGAATATACATACTTTTAACTTTTAATAGTAAGATCTTACATTTTACTCATTATTTCGTCACATTGAAAATGTAAAAAAATGGAGATTTTTTTTACATTTTACTCATTATTTCATATGAACGTCCATATTACTTTATTGAGCATTCAAAATAATATTTTTCTAATATTTCTCATTCAACTTGGTATGAAATACATATTTTTAAATTTTAATAGTGAGATCTTTCATTTTACTCATTATTTCGTCACATTCAAAATGTAAAAAATTGGTGTTTTTACAGTTTACTCATGATTTTGTCACATTGTAAACATTATTAATAAGGACGTTTTTAATTGAATTAAAAATTTCGGGTTTGATGTGGTCTGAAGTAATATTATCTGGTAGATGTGTGTTTTACATTTTATGTGTCCTATACTCGTATTATTATTAAAGATTGATCTGGTTTGGGAATGAAATCAATCTAATTAAAAACATCCTAAGGGTAAAAATAAAATTAGGAATTTGTAAATATATAAAGATTTCCTAATTTGGCTCAGAAATCTGTTTCAAAAGTGATAACATTTTTTCTCAAAAGTGATAGCATATTTAAATTGTAGTTGTAAAAAAAGAAACAAAATAACCAAAAACGAAGTATTAACACAATTGCATATCCGGGACTTAGAATTTTAATAATCATGATCTAAACATTGAGTTTGAAGAATAAAATATTAACGAATAAGTTCTTTGCGAAGAGAGAATCTTAATCAAAATACTTAGCCATGAGTTAATAAAAATATGGCTTTTGGTTAATAAAATATTAACGAATATGTATCACATTTTAATCATTGTCTGACTGTCATATTCTCTCTTCACTTACCAAATAAGATGGATTTTTGTCATACGGTCTTTTGTTTACATATCGATATGCAATCCAAAATAGAATCTAATAAAATAAATAAAAGGTACGGAGTATTAAAAACCTTATGTCAATATTTAGGTTTTTAATACTCCGTACCTTATATATATATATAAGTTGTTCGGTGTTCGATTCGATTTACGATTTTTCAGTTTTAAACCAAACCAAACCATTCAATTTGAGCAAATTCGTACCAAACAGTTTACTTAAGTAAACCCAAACCAAACCAAACCACAAATTTTCAGTTCGGTTCGATTCGATTAAACCAAACCATTTTGCCCACCCTACTTAAGAGTTTCATTTACGCGAAAGAATATTCTAAAAATGTTGGATTACTTTTCACTTGGTTTGATGAAAAAATAAAATAACCGGCACTCCCGCCACAAAAATATTAGAGGGGTGTTGTTTAGGTAGCATTCTTTATTTCATCATCACTCAAAATATTTTTAACACGTGTGCGTATATTAATATGTTTGTGTTAGAAAGTTCAGATAATTTTATTTTATGGTAATTGCTACAAATTCTACAAGTTCATTGTCACATACCTCTCTTCGAAAAGAAGTTCTCACTTTCTTTTATACTACCTCCGTCTCACTATGTTTGGGACAAAGAGTGTGACACAACTTTTAAGAAAAAGTGGAATTGTATGGTTGATATTGAATTGATAAAGTGTGAATAAAGTAAGAATGAATTGTAACCACCCAAATATTACCAAATATGGTAGGAGACAAACTTAATGGGACAGACGAAAAAGGTAAAACGGAACAAAGTTAAGGGGACGGAGGAAGTACCACGTAAAAAGAACTTATTTCTATAATATAAAATGTTAAAACCATTTTTAATAAAAAAGTCACAATTACTCTTACTTTTTAGTCAATTTTGGATCGATTAGACATAATGCAAGAGTACACATAGAAAGTCAAAAAAATGGTCTTACATAATACGAGGAGTACTGCTTTTGTCCCGAAATACATAGTCAAATCTTAAAATTTATATCATGAATTTGATTAGTACAATATTATGGAAATTATAAATTTTTATACTATTATTAAAGTACTTGTAACAAAATAATATTTTCGTATCATGTATATATTATAAATAATTTCCAATAAATATACGAAGTATATGGTTGATCAAAGTTTTAAATATGAGCAAGTATTTTGGGACGAAAATAGTACTATCATGTATGGAGTACTTTATAATATTGTATATTTATAGGTCAAACAGAGAATTTCATTCCGGGATGAAAGGAATAAATGAGACTATGATAGTAATCACTCTTTGTGTTAAGAATCAATTTTTTGAATAACGATAATATTGAAATTAATTAGCAAAATCAAACATGAACTAAAAACGTGTGTGCATCCTCTCTGTTCTCAATTTCTAATACTGATATGATTCCGATCAGAGCACTATGAATATTTTCGAAAGTGTACGAACAGAAAAAAGTCAATACAATCAAACCACAAGAAATCAAAGCACTAATCCAAAAATTCCGAAAACTAAAAGCAAAGGGTACAGATTGGCAGTGCTCTTCCAGCTCGCGGAGGAGCTGCCGGTGGCATTCCCTGGGCTCTGCGCCGGCGTGATTCCGGAATCACCGGCGGGAGCAGGGGAAGGTGAAACTCCCGGAGCGACGCTGTTTCCGGCAGTCAAAGTCAATGCGACCTTAGCATTCATATTCTCCGTTTCCATTCGATGCCCCAGTGGGTGTGGTTGACGATCGGTGCTCAACGGACCCACCTGCCACAGGGTGTTCAACTGCGATGGCCTCGTCAGATTACTTAACGTGGCGTAAATCCACACGCCGCCGGCAGAACCCACCGCCGCCGACGAGTTCTGAACGATCCACGGCAGAGACTTGTTGGGCACCTCGGTTATGGTGCTTCTGGAATTGAGGGTGAGACTGTATGGTTTGACGGTGAGAATTCCAGATTGGGGGTATAAAGCGAGGAAGGCAAACGCGCCGTTCATGCCGTCGCCGTTGCCGGGGTTGATGCCCCAGCCAAACCACATGCCTCTTGAGATATTTGCGCCGGCGGCGAAGGAGAGGGTGGAGTTGGTCTCGGTGTAGTTCCAGTGGAGGACGGCGCCGAGGGAGGGGAGGACCGTGCAGTTAGCATACACATTGTCAATCTTCGAGGCGCAATTTAGAGAGAGGGCAGGTGAAATCAGGAAAGTTCCGATGAGGAGGAGGAGGAGAGAAGATGGGGACATTGTGGGCGGCCGTCTACGGTGGCTGAGAATTGCCCGCCGGTTATGGTGGTCCTAGCCTCCTAGGTCCTGATTGGGTTTTTTGGAGAATGGTAGTTGCTGTGTCCGAGAAAGGGTGGGTATTTATTTATAGAGAAAACGGACGGATGAGATTTTGGATGGTAGGGTTCGTGTAGGAGTTGGACTAAGGGAGTGTTTTCATTTGATTAAAAAAAGTGCTTTTCAGCTTTTGGCTTAAAAAAAGTTAAAAAGAGTGTTTTCAAATGACAACTTCTGCTTAAATTAATCACTTAAAAGCTAAAAGCTGGAAGCAGGTGGAAGGGTGCTTTAAACTGCTTTTCACTTTTTCTATTACACAAAAAGTACTTCTTTTATCAAACACTACCAACTTTTACTTTTTCAGAATCACTTTTTCCTCAAACACTACCAACTTTTACTATTAATCACTTTTCCCAAAATCACTTTAAAAAATCACTTCTTTAAAGTTGAAGCAATTGCAAACACTCCCTAAGAGGGAGTAAGAGGCAATGAGGTTGTAGACTTGTAGTAACTATCTCCAACAGTTTACATCATTTTTTACACTAAAACGGTGTAAATATCACATCATACAATATTTTATCTCCAACATTTTACACCATTTTCATCACCAAAAAGAAATATTCACTTTTTATTCTTTTTACTAACTTTTTAACATTCTTCTATTTAAGTATCTAATTATCATATATTTATCATTAGCCCCTCATTTAATATTTTGACATTTCACACATTATTTCACACATACAAACTACAATACACCATTTAAATATGTATTTTCACGCATTTCACTAATTAAAATACAATAATCAATATTTCACAAATACAAGCTAAAACCAAATAAAATTAAATATTACAATAATATTATAATAATTTGTACGTCATTAATAAAGTACTACTTAAACTTAAAGCAATAGATTAATTTTATGTTTATTTTTTTTCTATCAAATTAATAATTTTAATTTGTATAAGGATGTTTTTACTTGGACTGTAATTTGTCTCAGATCATATCAGACCGAATCAGACCAGATTTGGGTAGTTATAAAAATACAAAGAAATCAGACTTGACCAGACCAGATCAGACCAGGCTTGGGTTATAAAATACAAAGAAACTAGACCAGATTAGTTCAGACAAGACTAAAGCGGACCAGACCAGATCAGCAAATTACAGTATAAGTAAAAACATCCTAATTTGTTGTTCTAAAAATGGGTCAAAAGTATAACAACCAAAAGTTGGGGTCACATTTAAAAAAAAAAGATGGCGTAGGGGATGGTGTGCACCATATATGGCGTAATCCCAAACTCCCTCCCCCATTTTGGTGAGGTGGTGTAAAGAATGGTGTAAGTATTGGAGCAAGTTTTTGGCAAATACACCATTTGGTGTGTGATTTGGTGCTCTGTTGGAGAAGCTCTAAGACGTGTTTATTCAACGCGATCACAAACCAAGTGCAACCTATCCCTATAGGCTATAGAAAGAGAAGTCGGTGTAAATTGAAAAAATAAATGTATTTTTATTACGGAGTAATAAACAATAATAACACTATAATAGTATGAAATTGTCTAGCAAGAAAAAAAAGTATAAAAAAAGTATGAGCCCGTTCTGAAATTGGTTGAATTGGCTGATCTGCTGGAATTTATGAAGTTCTAGCTGGATTATATGGATTGACCGATTGACTGATTATGCTAATTTATGAAATAAAAAAAATTATTAATAAAATAAATAAATAAAATATGGAAAATAGTTAAAATGATTCTCTACAATAACTTCAGTCAATACAGTCAGAAAAGTAAATTTAATCTTATTTATTCATATTATTACACAATTCAGCGCGTGAAATTAAAATAGGTGTTTGGTGAAAAAGTTGGTTGATAAGTCTGATAAGCCGAAAAGAGAGTCATCAAACGAGCTCTATGACTTTATCAATCTTTTTCGTAATTCAAAAAAATTATAGTAGTAGAAAATTTCATACTAGTATAATAAGTTATCCTTTGTATTCTTTCAAAAAAAAATAAGCTATCTTTTGCCTAGGAATTACTTGCGAAATTTCAAGGGGGTGTTTGTGTAACCGCGTTTCAACCAGAAATGTCATTATTTTTCAACGTAAAACGTTGTTAAATGTAGCGTTTTGACGGCCAAAATGCTGAAATACAAACATGCCCCGAAAGTTGGGATGTATTGAATAAATGTAAACTTTTAAAAGGTTAAAATTGTTTAGATATACTACCTTCATCCCTTATAACTTTGTCAACTTTCCTTTTTGGATGTCCCACTAATTTTGCCACTTCCCCTTTTAAGTAAAGAGTTTGTAGTTCCAGTTAATTCTCTCTCATCTGCACGAATCTCAATCACACAGTTTTTACTTTATTAATATCCGTGCTGATCAAACTTGGCAAAGTTATTAGTGACAAAGGGGTATTAATTCTGCATAGCTGTTTAATGAGAATTTGTTAGCCTCCCAAAAAAATTCCGTAGGCACTAGGCTCTTCCTTTCATCTTCTACTTGTGGCAAGTACTAGACCGGATTCCAGTGTAGATAGTAATAGACTATTTATTTATCTAAATTATGGTATATCACAGTAAGATCTCAAATTCTAAAAATTAATTAGAAAGACAACTAATTGATATACTCCATCTATCCCTATTCGATGTTCCCACTCCAAATTACACACCGATTAAAAAATTGATATTGTTTGGACGTTGTTTGACACTGTTTGTTTACCAAATAAGGAAATGAAACTTTTTAAGTGACTTCCTAAAAATAATAATGGAAATATGATAAGACTTACATGTTTGATGTTAAACTTGTTTAGTATGCCCAGATGCGTTCACTTGTTGTTCTCAAACAACTCTTTTTTTATCATCTCAAACAGCTCATTTTGATTTCATAAGAAAATCAGTTTTAAATTAATTTTGATTGGTTTATGGAATGGGAGGACCGGAGGACGAATATATGGCGATGAAACCCTCATTTGTGTTACTATCTACGAAACCTAATGTAACCGATCGACGATATTTTGAAGGTATATACTTCCCAGGCAGAATATGATTAACTATACAAGCCGAGACCAAAATTTCAAACAGAAAGAGAGACAAATGGTTAATAAAATTTAGAAAGGTGTGTGTCAAGAACTTAAAAGAGTAAATGCTCATCTTCCTTCCCAATGCTATGTACTTCATTGCTCTATCATGGGGCGAAGACACCTGAATCTATAAAATACAATACAATAGAGTGTTAGATTCATCCATGCGTATCAAATATAAAAGACTAATATATATATATAACCTATTTAGTCACCCCCTTATCGATCAACTTTTTAGTTAAACACATAACTTTGTTTTCACACACTCAATTATGTAACAATAAAAATAAGTAGGTTAGAGTTATGTTTCTGGCTTAATTGAGTGAAGTCACTGTATAAGACCATTTTAGCTTTTTTCATATATATTTTTCTTTATTTTATTATAATATACTACATACTACGTATATTTTAAACATGATTTTTCCATAGTTCAGCATATTCAGCCGCTTCAGCAAAACTTTCATGAACGTTAGCATATCTAGCCAATTTCAGTGTTACGGAACAGTCTCTTTACGCGATTAATAAGAGTTGGGTGGAGATTATTACATGCATTGATTTGTTGGACTTCACTGATGGGCTCATCCACCGATTTGCTGCATATAATCTGCATATGACCCATGAGCTCAACCTTTTCCCCTGCATTGAGGTTTCAATGACCATGTTTATTGTTCTTCATCTCCCCACCCCCACCCCCCCCCACCCCCTGGTTTGCATTTGTTAGACATACCTTTGGGAGCAGAGTTGAGGGCTCGTGCTAGACGTTTCAAATCTATTAACCGTACACGTCTCCGTAGTTTACCTAATTTGTGAATCAAAATCCCATAAGTTACATGGTTAAGCCGTAGACTTTGTTTTGTGGAATGAATGAAGTGGCTTGCAATGTAGAAGAAGCTTTTGCAAGATTTCAAAATCAATGCTTTGATGTTTTTGTTGAAATAAGAATGGTATTAACACAAACTGAGAATTACTAATTCCATTGTGTATCATGTAAAAGAGTAAAAACTTAAGTGCTTTTGTCAAACTAAAAGAACCAAAATGTTGTTGTTTTTTTTGGAAAGTATATGTTTCTTTGAAAAAGTGTTTTTTTAGAAGTTGCCTCAAACATGCACTAAGGTTTGCATTCTGTCTTGATGACAATTTTAGTCCTCTGAATGATGCAATTTAGCAGGACTAAAACCACAACATTGACAGTTTTGCAAAAAGTAAACAATGAGTGATAAAAATAGTACATAGTAAAAAGAAAAATACCCAAGAAATACAAGCAGAAACTATAAATATACTAACACTTGGAAATGGTAGTACTATCACAGCCTTTGGCAGACACTTGTGCTTCAACATGTTGAATATGGTCATGAGCCTCACCCGATGGGCTATTTAGTAATCTCGCAAAATGCTTAATTTGGTAAAAATGCAGTCCTTCCGGGTACGGGTATTTTACGTGTGTTGTTGCATCCTGACCAGCACCACCTGGACAACACCTAGGGGCTAGCAGATATCTAATTAACTAATCCGATTAACGGTTTAAAAAATCTTGAGAAGCAAAGAGATACCAGGGTGAGAACTAGACATGGTTGATAATGATGCCTCAAGTAGCCTTTCATGGTCCTTCTCTATACACTCAAGCTGAATGGTTTCATCACATTGGTGGAAGATACTTCTAGTTCTAGGAATAATAATTCCACGAGTTTGAGAAGGAAGAGGAGGAAGAGGAGGAGGGCAACTCGACATCAAGGAGGCTCTCTGTCTTCTCAGCTGGTAGTTTCTACGGCGCCTGGCTAGATGCCTCTCGCGCTGCTCTTCGCTCATAGATTGTCTTCTCTCCCGATCACGCATTCGCCTTTTTTCCCTTTCACGCTCTTTCTCTACGTTTGGCCAGTTCCTCACTGCTAGCCAGTCATTGTTCTCAGATGATGATCCTTCTGCTGATGCTGCCATTTCCACCCCTACTCTTCTCTTTTTTTTTTGCTTACATGCCAAGAATAATCTGATAAGTGATACGAACTTTACTTATTTATGTCCATGATATGAAATATCAGAAACCCAAAAAGTATGTAAATAAAAAATTACAACTAATCACACCTATTTATTTTTTCTTGACACTGCCCAAGACAACCAATAATCAGAAAACAAACTTTTAATTTCCATTCCATGGAATTTCCAGAAATCCAAACATACCCTTGACAAAAAATTGATTAGCAAAGGCTTACATTGGCAAAAAAGAAAGACTATGATCTTGAGATCTAGTCATATATATGAAAACATGAGGCTCAAAGATAATTATTCGTTTTTTAAAATGGATATATAGGCCATTTCGAATACAGTAAGCTAAGGCAAATATTATGAACCCTCTGGCTCACAATCCCCATCACCTAAGGATAGACTTCTAGAAATGCAGCTTAGATTATATATGTGTTTAGGACATCTAAAAATGTACAGTGTAAAAGATCGTTTTTTTTTGTTGCATGGGCGTTTTAAGGAATAGGTAAGGATGCTAGACAGGAAAGGAGGGGAGAGATTGGTGATAATATAGCTGCATCTCTAGGAAAAGATTTCATCCAAATTCTCTTTGTTTTATTATTTCATGAAAATTGCATTGAATTGGCAAAAGAGATCACAATTTCTTGTTAATGACCTGTTTAATTAATCTCGTTTAATATCTGTAGGAATTATATCATATTTTCGAGAGAAATAAACGATAAAATGCTGATAATATTGCGGGAGGTAGTGAATACTTGCCGTTGATGGAAGAGAGAAATGTGAATACTTGCCGTTGATGGAAGAGAGAAAGGAGCCCCAAATTTTGCAGAAAAGCTGCCTTGTTTATATTATGAAGAACATGAAGAAGAAAGTCGCTGTGTAATGTTAGGCTGTTTAGCTGTTATTCGGTTGAACGCATGAATTTTACTTATTCAACGACAATGTTGCTCCATACATCTTTTATTCATGTGTTAAAGACAATGGATTTTAGCTGCGCACTAATTAAGCATTTTTCTCACCTAATTTAGAATCAAACTTTGACTCTGGAATTCTGGATTATTCAAATAATATATTTATTTATGAGATTTTTCCTAACTATTATTACATTGAAGCTTATTTAAAAAAATGACAACCTTTTTATATATATGGAAAAAAATGACAACCTTTTACGTAATAAATTTGAAAAAGATAATATCACTGTCGGGTTTTATATCACCGTCAATAACTGCTAGTGTTACTAACTTGTTGCCACTAGTTCACTAGCGATGCTGTGAAACATGTCTAATAAATATAGCTATCCTAATAAATATTAGCTAATAAATATATTTATTAGATATATTAAATATATTTATTAGGATAGCTGTTGAGGTTTATTCCCGAAGATCCGAAAGCCCAACACAAGCTTTGGATATTGTAGGGATATTGGGTTGGGTTGAAAAGTGTATAAAAATATAAAACAGTGAGATACTAGTATTATCCAACTCAGGAGCTTACTAGTATTCAGTAATTATGCTATTACACTGGAACTACCCGAACGGTAGATGAGTATGAGAATACAAGGATAAGAGATGTAAATCTATTGCTAAGCTCTGAGTATCAAAATGCTAACCCTTTACAATGATCTAAACATGGATATTTATACTAAAATGGGGATGGGAAAGCTAGATACGTGGCTGAATCCAGTAGGTTACATCCCCTGCCACGTAGGAACCCATGCTTCCACTTGCTACCGCCATACTTTAGCATTAACTGCAGCATCAACTTGTCGACTGCCCGTTCGGGTAGGGTGTTCGGTGTGTGGGACCCCGCCATAGGTGTTATCTTGTTATGGAAGTATCCCGAACGCCGATCAGGATCTTAGCATTGGCACTTTGGCGTAATTGTTTCCTGGAATGCTCCAAGTAGACGCTTTACCCCGAATGCCGTTCGGGGTTCCTTGGGCTCTTTTGGGCCCGCTGTTCCTTTCCGGATTTGGGCCAGGGGATATTGGGCCTGGACCTAATATCCCAACAATAGCTAATAAATATATAGCTATATAAATATAGCTATATATTTATATGAACTATATAAATATATAGCTAATAACTATATTTATTAGCTATCCTAATATAGCTATATATTTATTAGCTATCCCAATAAATCTTCTCATATACTAATAAATATATAGCATTCCTAATAATTCAAGGGAAATAATAATTACGAAATGTACAAAATTAAGATTTAAGATTCTAAGACTTAGAATACAAAATAACAATAGAAGTAGTTGAATATGATAGTTCTTACGATGATAGTTCTTATGATAGTTCGTTGGAAAGTTTTTCAAGTGACTCTTTCCGATGAAAATTATAAAACTTGAAAATTTTCAACAAAATTTTACGGCATTCGACAACAATGACTTCCAATGCCAACAACCAACATTTGATGCTAGATCCATCGATGGGGCAAAAGCTAGATAGTTGGGTGAGAATTAGAATTAGAAGTATATTCGTAAATCAAAGGTTTATTACATGTAAAAGGAAAAGGAAAACTAGTCATATTGACGTCTTCCAAAATGTATAGGTAATATTTTTGTTGATTTATATCACAAAGATAATTTTTAATAATTTATTCAATACAAATTTGAATAGTTGTTTGTTATAAACTTTACAAGTACACATTTACAAATAGTAACTATCAAACATTAGATGGTTTGAAGATCATGAAACAAACTTTGACACTTATTTAAGTGTAAGTTTAAGTGCTGGAGAGGGAAGGGATGATCGATTTTTTACTTTATTAATTTATCTGAATTTGTTAATTTTATACTACAAATAATTATATAGCTAGTTAGATCATATATTTTTATATACTATTGTCTTCACTTTATTTCAATTTTTATAAATCTAAAAATTATTTAAAATTTAAATATGACCCCTCCACTTCCTTCTCCTACAAATCCCCCAACCAAACTGGCCTGTCAAACTTCACAACGAAATCTGTCAGAGCACCAATCATAGGGAGGTCACTGGAGATTTAAAAAAATGATGGCACTTGATCCTCTATGGAAGCTCATGAATTGATGGATCAAGATGCAAGGTTAAAAGTGGGAGCTAACGATTTATTTTTGAACTAACCAATTAAAGAAAGTCTAGTGACATTTTACTTTGTAAAAAGAGTGTGGGCCGTGAGATTGCGAATGGAGGAATTCTCCTCCCAATCAAGGTAGCCACCAATCCCATCAACTACCCACAACTCCCTAATTTCATTTATTATGCATTAAATTTAATTTATTGTAAACAACTTTATATCAAAAAATTAGATTTTTTCCCTCTATAAATAGACACCAATGAATGATATGTTAAGTCACTTCGAATTTATCACTTATATCTATCTTGCATCTTATTTTATCTGCATTAGAATATTCTTTCCACTAAAAAATGATGGCACTTGATCCTCACTATGGAAGCTCATGAATTGATGGATCAAGATGCAAGGTTAAAAGTGGGAGCTAACGATTTATTTTTGTACTAACCAATTAAAGAAACCCAAGTGACATTTTACTTTGTAAAAAGAGTGTGGGCCGTGAGATTGCGAATGGAGGAATTCTCCTCCATATCAAGGTAGCCACCAACCCCATCAACTACCCCCAACTCCCTAATTTCATTTATTATGCATTAAATTTAATTTATTGTAAACAAATTTATATCAAAAATTAGATTTTTCCCTCTATAAATAGACACCAATGAATGATATGTTTAGTTACTTCGAAATTTATCACTTATTTCTATCGTGCATCTTATTTTATCTGCTTTAGAATATTCTTTCCTCTAAAAATGGATCCGCTCATTCTCCACCTATATACAATACCAACACCCCCCCCCCCCCTCCATAGAATTCCTCATTCGTTAATAATGTGGGTCACATATAAATTAAGGGTGTATTTTTTTTAAATATGCTTATTTTTTATTTTTCCACAATAAATATTTATAGTGGGTCAAATGTAGATTCTATATTCCTTTTTCAAATTAAATAAATTAATAATGGTGGGATATATCAAAAATAAGGAGAGAGAGAGTGAAAATTTTAAGTGACTTAGGTCAACATAGTGAGGAAAAAATGTGATAGGAAGGTTAGAGAAGATTAAATTTTTAGAGGGAAATAGTGTGGAAGAGAGAGGAAGGATTAGTCAAGCAATCCATTTGTAAATGTGTCAGCATTTACAAATCAAAATCAAAAATGATGTTTGTACCCATTTTTATACCCACTTTTATATTCACCCATGTTTGTGATTTTTTTTTTGTCTGTGAGTTTCGTTCATAGACAATATTTTGTTTGTGCAAAATTTGCACACAGATTCACAAAAAAAAACACAAACATGGGTGGAGACTATGGTTAAGAGTTCCGGGCAGGGAGACCCACACAAAAACGTGACACAATTGTATCTGCGAAACATAAGGTTAAAATAGCTGCAAGAAGTATACACAGAAAACAACACACCAGAGGCAAGGGTGTGCACATTCTCTTCGAACCAAAACAGTTCCATTTCCATTTCCATTTCCATTTCCACGACCTTGCAGGGATGGATGGGTTTAGAGGACTGTCTGAACCATCATCATAAACTCTAGAAGAAATTAGTACACAAATTTTACAGACTAAATGAAAACTTGCTTTTTTTAATCATCTCCATGCTGAGGAAGTTGCCAAAGCCCGACCCTTCCATCCAAGACACAACGCACCATTGCTTTCTTGAAGCCAATAATTAGGGCTGTATTCGCTCAACACTTGCCTCATGGCCTGCCCAACCGAAGCACTTAACGGGCAAGGACTGAACCCGGCCATCATCAACCTCATCCTCCATTTCCCAAAGACTTCGTGCCTTTCCACCCTATCACCCCCCTCGCAAGCCACCAAGTTGACAACATCCCGCGCAACACAGTGCTCCTCCGCGCTGATCCGCTGCTTGTCATCCCGCGGGCGGGCCGCGTCGATAGACTCAAACATTGCTGCATAGTAATCCAAAGTCTCCCGGAACCTCAGAAGGAATGGAGCGGAATTGGTGTTGGCTTCCTGTTCAACAAGAGTAACGACTCTCGGGGACAAGCTCTTAACCAGTCTCAACAGCCTGTCTCTGTGGTTCATGGTGGTCACACTCTCGTCCGGCATGTGGTGTAAACTGTAGGGGAAGTTAACGGTTAGGACTTCTCCTGGGACCACGTGGAGGTTCTCCAGCTCAACCTCACTGCCGGAAATGGCTGCCGCATGGAACTCGAAGGGCACCCCGTAGGACTCGGCAAATTTCGCTAACCTCTCGCCGACGAGCCTGAGTCCTCCGCCTCGGGCTTGGATGGATTGAGGGTCATCGACGCCCGTCACACGGATAAAAGGAGGCCCACCGGGACGTTGCGAGAGAGCCTTGATGAGGAACATCCATTGACTCCCTTGGGCGATCTGGAAGTCGATGACATGGATCCGGTTCTCATTGGCAACTGCCTCCTGGATCACGACATTGGCCGACACGTAGGCGAACTTGTAATAAGGGCATATGTGGTACATGACTTGCATGTATGACATCAGCTCCGACCCGGTTGGTTCATTGCAGTTCAACTTCTTATAGATTGTGCTTCCAGAACAGAGTAGCCGTGCCCTGAGGCCTTCAAGCATGTAAGCGCTTAGCCTCTGGATGGGTTCCCCTGAAACCGAAACTCTTTTCTCCAGCACACCCATTAGAAGTTCTGCTGTAGACACGTCGGCATCTGAAACAGCCTCTGCACAGGCCGTGAGAAGCTCCTTTGTTTCCAAATTCGGGGCTATCTCCACAATCTTGGTCCATCTTGTCAAGGAAGAAGAAAAAGGCTTCGAGACCACATCGCTCATGGCCTGCTTGGATTCTGGCAAGTACTGGGGGGAGAAAACATGGAGAAAATTTAATAAAAAGTAAAGAGAATGTGGGGGGAGTAAATGACACCATAGGTGGTCGGTGGATAGGTTCAACTCTAAAAATAATTTTCTTTAGTTATTTGGCGTTACTCAATTTATTTATATACGCCTATCATATAAAGGCTTCAAAAAACTAAAAGTACCATCTTTTCCACTGCATTTTCCAAGGTAAACCGGAACACAAGAAATTAACTTTATTTTGCTTTCCCTAGCATTTTCGATAGGCAGTAGCTCCAAACATCCAAACATACCCTAAGGGTCCATTTGGTTCCTGGAAAGTACTAGGGAAAGGAAACAGGAAGGAAAACATGGAGGAAGAATAGAAAGAGATATAATGGTGGAAACTACAGATAGAGAATTCAAAATATAAATGTGTAAATAATCATGCTTCGTTTTCCTTTTCATTCGCCAAATTAAAAGCAAACAAAAGAACCTTCTTCCAAGATCAAAACATACCGTGAAGGAACAACTGCCGGTGTCATCATCCACTTCTGAGTCGGGACCCAGCAACTTGTTCTCCAATTCACGCAACACGTGCCTCATTTCATTGCCGTCATCAACAACTCCAGAAGAACCGCTTAAGGGGGAACCAGAAGTATTACAGTCCGAGACATAAGAATGTGAGCAATGAGGAGAAAACGCACTCCGGTTTGAGGAAACGGTGGTGGGTGAATCGTAGGCCGCACAGTCGGAAGCGGTTGATGAGTCCAAAGTGAAGAATTGCTCATTGTCGGCCAGGAACACATTTTTTTCTCCTTGGAAAGTGGTGTAATATTGCCCATCAACAAGCTGTTTAGGTTGTTTATGGTACAACTTCTGGAGAAGGCTGGCTGATGATTGAGGTACCTCGGAGGTTTGCATTTGGAGTTGACTTTGAATTCTTTGTTTGCTTTTTCTTAAATCAAAATCTGGAGCTTTGACTTAAAACACGTTGACTTTGACTTCTACTTATCACAGCTGGGAGTGTATTATCTGTATAAGTGTATGCCCAAAAATATCTGCAAAGACAAGAAAAAGTTGATCAGCTTCCTTTTTTATTTTCATTTTTTTCCTTTTTCATCCGTCCCATTTTCATTTTTTCCTTTATCATCCGTCCCTATAATATAGGGAGTATGTTATTTCCATTTAAGGAAATGATTATGTGGTTCATATTGTTTCTCTCCTTTCTAAACAAATTTCAACAACATGAGTTCCACTTCATTAAAACAGTACAAAGTCAAATCTGAAGAAAACTTAGGAGTGAAGGTAGAACAGTAACGCAGGAAAAAAAGATCTTGCATACGACTACCAAATTGCAACTAGGACATAGTCAATTTATGCATATCCACTGTGCAATTACTATATAATTGGTTCAAATGGTGATAAAGTAGATGCTTTGCATTATTTCATCAGGGCCATTCATGAAGTGACTTACTTTTTCATCCATCACTGAAATATCTTTCCTTATCTTACCTTTTAAGGAAATGATTATGTGGTTAATAATGCTTTTCCCTCTTCTAAACACATTTGTACCACATGATTTCCACTTCAGTAAAAAAAACGTACAAAATCAAACCTGTAGAAATAATTGGGATGAAGGTAGAACAGTAAAGCAGGAAACAAAAGATCTTGTATATACTTACCAAATTGCAACAAGGACATAGTCACATAGTGAATTTGTGCATCTCCAATGTGAACTTACTGGATAGACGCGGTTCAGATGAGGAAAAAAGTAGATACTTTATATTATTTCATCTGGACCATTCATGAAGTAACTTCACTGCATAATGGATTAATATTATATGAAAACCAAAATATTTGAGAAGTTTGAGTGGCATTGCTTATCTGGAATAGAATATTTATAATACATTGAATTGATATTGATGGCGGGATCTTATTGTATTCTCTGAAGCATAAAAAAAATATCTACTTCACTGCAGAGTTACTCCATGAATATTTACCAAAGGAGAACAGAGTAATAAAAACACCAAGGCCCTCTTTGTTAAGGACGTAAGGGTTATTTTGCTGAAACTGGAAATTTTGAATGAAAAAGAATTTGGTAACATCCATCTCAGCCAAATATATAAAGTCTTGCTTATTTTTCGTATTCACGAGCAGAATAAGCCAAAATAAGCCAGAACTGGCTAACAAAAAAGGCCTCAATAAGTTTGAAGATCAACAGCCGCGTAAAGCCAACTAAATACCTTGATTTTCTTTAATGGCATCATAGACTTATCAAGACAAAGTGAAGTTATTATTGAAAAATTCATGGACCAACCAAGTATAAGATTTTATATATACATACATAAGAAATTTGGTAGAGCCAGCCATTGGCACTGAAATATTATTGGAGCATATTAATGTTTATCAAGCACTAAGAACTGTCATCTTAATCTTGGTGGAAAAAGAACTAAATCTCAAGCTCAAAACCATGTTGACTAAGAAATGTCTTCATGAAGAGGTTAGCAAATGCAAAACACCACCATCCCAGGATAACAAGAGAGCCCAATTACAGATTTAGAAAGCATTAAATCTGTAACACTTCAAATCCAAATATTTTTCATAGATTTTACCGTATGAGATTTTTCTTGTAATTGAACATTTAAGTGAAAAATCAATCAATCTGTGGAAAATATTACGGAGTACATAAAATGAGATAAATACATTCCAACACAAGACATAAAGCTCCAGCAAAAGGAACTGGAATTGCAAATGTTTGATTAACACTCGAATAAGACACCAAGAAATCACTTTAGCCTTTAGGAACTTCAAGAGCAAACGAAAACCAAAAGAACTAGGAAATACGGGCAAAGGAACTGAATAGCGCAGAATCACATAGATTGAGAGTGAACGCACATACCTGAACACGAACTTTAGAAGATTGCAGCTTTTCTATGATTTTGTTAATTTATTCGGAGTATTTTTCATTCAACTTTTTTGCTTTGACTTGAATGGATGAGAAGATTGATCCTAGTGTGTTCTGGAAAACGCTGATTGATAAGAAGAAAAGAACCCAAGAGTGTCATATAAATAATATTTATAAATGATAAATACTCCGTAATATAAATGGAGAAGATGCTTGCCACCGTTTTCTACGTCAATTACACAGTGTGCCCCTAAGTAGTTGCTGTGAATTTCCTTGTCCCACTTGAAGTTTCACCGTGCCATTAAAAGAAGGGAGGAATATTACGCTCCGTATAATACTCACCATTTCCTTACTACGATAAATAAACTCCGCCAATGCGAGTTGCGACTGTCCATAAACGGTTTGAAAAGTTCCGTATAACTTAACGATTTGTACTATCTGATCTGATCTGATCTGATCTGATCTGGAATAAATTACGATCCAAGTAAAAACATCCTAAGTTCACTGCAATAGCATTGAGCACATTATTTAAGAAAGAAATAGAAGGAGTAATGAATAGTGTAGAAAAAGTAGAGAGAGTGTGTAAAAGTATGAAAAAGAAGATAAAAAGTAGAAAAAGTAAGGTGCTTAAGTATTTTTAAAGGAAAAACTTATCAAAAGGGGAAAATGTACCAACTTTTAAATACATCCTAAAAAGCAAAGTGTAGCAAACTTTAAAATACAGAGGGAGTACGAGAAGATGCAATGATATACTCTCCTTTCCGGGGACGGGCACGATTCGGGACGGAATGGGAATTAGGTTGTCCCGGTACTGAACCCGGTTTATAATAACGATTCAGAACGGGACGGGACAAGACGTTGTCCTTTTATTGTCCCATTTAAACCGGTACCGGGACAAAATGGGACGGTTTGGGACATCCCAAAAAACTGTAGTGAAAAAATTGCAATCCCAAAAATAATGCAAATCTATTTGAAAAAAAACTAACGCAAAAAACTCTATGACAAAAAAACTGCACCTAATCAAGAAAATTGTGAGAGAAAAATGCAAATAACCAGATTAGCTGTAAGAAACAAAAGTTGTTTCAAAAAAATCTAAAAAAAACTATCAAGAAATCAGTAAAAAAAACTGATAAAAGAATACTATAAGAAGTGAAGCCTTTGGGAGTAAAAATCAATTTGTTTTTTGTAGATAAATGATACTTTTGGGAGTTCATAGTTCATACTAGGTAGTTTAAAGTTCTTTAGGTGTTATGTTATTAAACAACTACTCCATAGTATTTTAATAATCATTGGTATTTGAGTTGTGAAAAAAGGATAATTATTATTTGGTGTAAATGTAAAAGGATAATTATTAATACGTAGTATTTTTTTAGTTATTATTAAAAAAGGTCAATTATTATTTGGATTTCCTAATGAGTTGTTGATAGACTCATTAATCTACAAAATGCAATTTTGAATTTGGGACAACGGGACGGAACAAGATATATTTTACTTGTCTCGGTCCCATTTTGTTTTGAAACGGTTCGAGACCGGTACGAGACAAAAATAATGTGTCCCAAATATAACGGGACAATTTCGGAACGGAACCGGAACATTTCGGAACGGACCAACAGGACCGGGTCTTTTGCCCACCCCTACTCCTTTCTAAACATAAAGTCTTGCAATTTTTGTACATTTTCGGTCGGTCACACCTAATTAAGACGTTGATCTCATGTGAAATTTACTCACTTGCAGATTTAACCTGATAATTAATAAATTTACTTGTATTCAAAATCTTTCCATCAGAAAGTACTTTTTTGCAAGAACACGTACTTTCCAATGAAATAGCCCTTATTATTGACAAGGTACATAACTACATCTACATGTGAGTAAAATTATACACTTAGCAGACACAATCGAAAGGTACGAGCTTAAAACCATAAATCTCTGTTACTTTTAAAAGTTCAAAAATATATTTGAGGTTGTAGAAATCTTGGTGAAACTTTTCTGACGAGATAAAGATGTCTAATACGTATATTTTATACGTAAAACAGATGTCGTTGAAGGACTTTTAGGAGACTATTGTTACCTATTGTAAATTTGTATGAGAAGTACTTACTTTTGTAGTTCATATTAGGGGAGGACAAGGCCCGGTCTCGAGAATGACCGATTTTTTAATTAAGATTTTAGGTTGGGATCGAGACCAGACCGGTGAACAAGAGGCCTCAGGCCTCACTTTTTGGATCACGATTGGAGCCCATGTTTTGACCCCGTTCATTTTTTCATTAAAACCATTGAAAATATTTTAAAATTGGTTATAGTCCGTTAAAAATTAAAAAATAGGTAGTTAAATATTTAAATTATCGGGAGCGAACCTAGACAAATTAGGAGATTAGAACCGAAGATAATGTCATGGGCCACACTAATTATTTAGCACTAACCAGTTTGAGTGTGAAACTCATGATAAATTATAATGTCTTTACCAGTATTTTACATGTAAATATGTTCATATTTTGTCAAATGTTAATTTACAAGTTATATTATACCTATAATGATCTCATTTTCAGGATTAAAAAAGTTTCTAGAGTGCAAAATGAGAATTTTCTTGCATTCAATCATTAATGGTAAAACCAAGTAGTCAACATCACTTTTGAGTCGGTTTGGTTCAATTAAGTTGATAAGTTTCAGTTCTTGACAAATTTAGCTTATTTTGATCATTTCCATGCCAGTTAAGTATATTTAGTCACTTTACAAATTCAAAGGTATAAAACGAACTACCTAGAGTGGGGTCAGTTATGTTTGACTTCCGATAAAAATGTCATTAATATGGACAAGTTTATTAATTACCGGATCAAATTTGTGATTGAATAAAATTACAGTATTAAAAGCGGACCTAATGAAAAATAATGAAATTATATCTATAGTTTTCTCTAAATATAGATTAGAAGTTATTTAATCATCATTAAAGGATAGGGAGGGGGGTAAAAGTATATTTTTGATAGTATGGGGGTGTGATTGATAATGCATCAAACCTCAAGGGGGGTCAATGATAATTTCCCAAATCAAAATGAATTTGAGAAGAGGAGGGTTGAGAAAAGAACACAGTGATGGCGGATGGAAAAGGGTAGAGAGAGGGGAGAGAAAGGAAATTTTTTGTACACTTTTACTACAGAATAGTCGTTCTAAGGTGTGTGTTGTTATATGTGTATATACCATATTATTTTACACTCTTATGGTACATGCATGCTAGAAAGTTTTACGATTCTATCTTATCATCAATTTGTATGATAGCATAATGTCATTAAATTTTTTGATACAAAAGTGTTGTATCTCCCTGCCTCTTGAATTTTGTGTATTTCCATGTTCTTTTGATGATTAAAAAAGATCAAGGGGTAATCTCCTAGTCCCCCACTCTTGCTGACTGAATGCACTTTGGGCTAGAGGAGTTGATGCGGTGCTACGCTGAGGCAACCCCTGAATAGTTGTATACTAATTTTCCGAGAGGGTAATAACAGTGGGAGTTTTTTATGTGCAGGTTGTCTAGGTTTGGTTAATGGTCGGGGTGTTCCTTGTCTAGAATTGAGGGCAGGTCTTTGTTGGCGTTTGTAAGTGGGGGTTCCGTGTTTGAATGTTCCTAATGTCCAAAGGGTAGCACTGTGTGGAGGGACCTGGTGCACCCGTAAGGTCATTTGAAGCACTGACTGAAGCTAGCCTTGATTTTATTGGGGATGCCTTACTGGTGGGTGATATTGTTTCGGGGGCGCCACGTGTCCAACAGTGAATGGTTAGGAATGGGGCGGGCATTCTTGATTGGCCCATCATGGTGTTGTGTGATGATGGCTTTCTAACTAGGGGGATGATTCGGAGGTAACCATATATGGTTGAGTTGCCTATAAATACCCCAAGTCTGACCTTATTTTTCTTTACGCATTTTGTTGTTTGAAGTGAAGCCTCTGCCAAAGTCTAGAGATCAGACAAAGCTCCAAGAGATCTAACAACCATTTTTTGGGTAAGTTCTTCGTAGTTTTCTCATACATCGCTTTTTTAGGGATTTGATCTAGTGTTTAGACCGAAGCCCTAAATTTCCCTTAGTGTTAGGACACCTCAGCTTCCGAAATCTCGTTAGCTATGTCATTTGAACCTGATTCTAAAGATATATTGAGGACACCTTACGTTGAGGAGCAGCTTGAGTCTGAGGGGTGGTTGGATGAGAGGACACCCCATCCCGCGACCTCGATAGTGGGCATCGAGGGAGCCGCTGAGGAGGTGATGGAAGAAGAGCATGTCAAAGACTTCGAGAAGGACTTCAAGGTCGAGGAGGAAGCCGAAGGGTTTGATGAGGAGATTGAGATAAAGAGATGACTGAGGCACATTAAATTGAAGAGGAGACAACCGAGAGGGCAGTTGCGCTCACGCTCAAGGCTATCGTTCTAAGGGGAATGGATGGTGTGGGGCCCTCTAGTCAGTTACCTGGTCTGGAGCCACTAAAGGCCATTAAGGGTAACAAAATGCCTAGAAACCCTGAAGACAAACAAGGGTAGCCAGTGGGTATACTCATATACCCGATGGCCATTCTTTCATTAATATGGCTCTACTCGCGGGATCCGATTGAGGGCACATGATGCTAACTTCCATACAATGCCATTTTACACCGGATCGTCTGCTAGAGTGGTGGAATCGGGGTCGGGGTACGTTGTTGTGCCCACTAGAGAGCTGCCACATCATATACTTGTTATCGGTGACCCTTGGCTTACGATTTCCCCTTTACCCTTTACCAGAGGAATACCTCCAGTACACGGTGTTGGTGCCTTGTCAGTTGAAGCCGAACAATCATTCCTACATCACTTGCTTTCACGTGATGTGTGCTGAGAAGAAGATGGATACAATCCTCGACCTTTTCTTCCTTTGTGTCAACCTTTGCAGGGGGCATGCGAATAGCTTTGGGTTCGCCAACCTTCAACAGGTGTTGGAATGGAGGCTCTTCGATGAAGTTCCTTTGTTACATACAGATGTCGTAGATCCCATTTTTCGAGGACTACTGCGATCATTTTCGGCGGCATGTAAAGGAAGGAGGTGTTGCCATGGAGAAGGAAGCAAGAAAGTTGTTAGTCGAGGGCTCGAAAAAATTAAGGACATGAAAGCGCCATAGAAGTTTTTGTTGTTGGATTTCCTTAGGTACCGACTCCTCGACGAGACCAATATGAAGTACCCGGTAATCGACCGGGTGCATGAAGGCATCAATTTAGATCCCGCTTGAACGAAGGTTGTTATTGCTTGTTTAATTTTAGGGGCTCTCCTTGGTACTTGTATATTTTTTGCGTTGCTAAAAATAGAGAGAAGGCAGAGTAAAATTAGAGACATAAGTGTGTATGACATTAATGATGTTCAAACTGCTACATTTGTCCAAAAGGTG